TGATCTCTGGCAATATCACTGATATTTTTAATGCTCCTATTGAGATCAGTGCTGCTCCTATAGAGATTATGACTTTTCCTGCTTTTGATGATGAATGTAATGAATCTGATGATGATCTTCCTGCACTGTGTGATGAACGTGATGAATCTGGTGATATTCTTCTTTCTGCATGGATAGTGACAGCAGTGATCTCTGGCAATATCACTGATATTTTTAATGCTCCTATTGAGATCAGTGCTGCTCCTATAGAGATTATGACTTTTCCTGCTTTTGATGATGAATGTAATGAATCTGATGATGATCTTCCTGCACTGTGTGATGAACGTGATGAATCTGGTGATATTCTTCTTTCTGCATGGATAGTGACAGCAGTGATCTCTGGCAATATCACTGATATTTTTAATGCTCCTATTGAGATCAGTGCTGCTCCTATAGAGATTATGACTTTTCCTGCTTCTGATGATGAACGTAATAAATTTGATGATGATCTTCCTGCACTGTCTGATGAATGTGATGAATCTGGTGATATTCTTCTTTCTCCATGGATAGTGATAGCATTGATCTCTGACGATATCACTGAGATTATTAATGCTCCTATTTAGATCAGTGCTGCTCTTATAGAGAATTCTTATTTAACTGCTTCAAATGATGAACGTGATAAATCTGGTAATGATCTTCTTGCTTTGTCTGATGAACGTTTTGAATCTGGTGAGGATCTTCCTGCACTGTCTGTGGAGTCTGGAGATGAAGAAGGTTGTGAGCAGGAGAAAGGGGATTGTGGAGAGGATCATGAATGAGTCCCCAATGAAGGAGGTGAACCTGACAAATGAGATTGTAGGGAGGATCATGAGGGTGCTCCAGATCAGGAGGACGATAATGTAGTGTTCACTCAGACAAGTTGGAGTTGCAGCGGGATCAGGGACAGGTTGAGAAAGTGACCGGCTCCGTACAGTAATCATTGATGGCTACAAGGAGCAGGCAAGATGACCATAAAGGAGGAGGAGGTAAAGCTAAAGAAGGAGCTGGCTCTGGGGACCAACATGAGATTGGTAATAGAGCAGAAAAGACTTCTAGTCAGGAAATATAGTTTGGTTCAAAGTATTAAATTAACCATCCAGTGTACAATATGTTTTATTTATTTTTTTGTATTTTAAGGAACCACACTTGTTGATAAAATATCATCTCGTCTAATTCCAGAAAATGTTTCGCTTGATTTTAACAGTTAGGGCCGCAACCTAAATTGCCTTGTAAGAATGAATCAAATTTTTTGAGTACTTAATATAGAGTGCAATTTTCATTAATTTCCGGAAATTTTAGCTACTGAACCAGACATAAAAAATTATTAATCTTATTTTATTGACAACTCCCACACTTCAACACTTCAACACTTCAACACTTCATCACTTCAACACTTCAACACTTCAACACTTCAACACTTCATCACTTCAACACTTCATCACTTCAACACTTCATCACTTCAACACTTCATCACTTCAACACTTCTACACTTCAACACTTCATTTCAACACTTCATCACTTCAACACTTCAACGCTTCAAAACTTCATCACTTCAACACTTCAACACTTCATTACTTCAACACTTCAACACTTCATCACTTCAACACTTCAACACTTCATCACTTCAACGCTTCAGCACTTCAACACTTCAACACTATAACGATTCAGCACTTCAACACTTGAAAACTTCAAAACTGAAAAATCAAAACTCTTTATAACTCCATGAATAAATAAAAAATCATTTAAGAATATAACTTTTTATAATTTCAGTCCAAAAATGTCTGCTATTACAAATATCAAAGGATGCAATTATGCCTTTGAATCTTTCATATCGCTCTTGAATGTCCTTGGTTTGTTGTGGTTTGGTCGCATTAATATATGTTTCGTTGCAACCCGAATACAACAGAAGTAAATGAATATTTAAAAATATGTCTGCACTGCATAAACTAGCTTTAGAGCTTGGCCTGAATTAGACGAGATAAAAAAAATTATTATTTGTTTCACTTTTCTTCTTTATTTTATACAAAAATATTAATTTTGTTTCATTCACCGTCCATATTGTAGAGTTACTGGTAATCTTAACATTTTCAGATTTAGATTTATTTTAAGAAATCCATTTTCAACATTTTAAGGATTAAGAATATTTGTTGAAGGGTTCAAATGTCCAAGTTGTCAGTTTAAAGAGACTGTAAGCATAACTTCAAGTGACCCTCCATACTTAAAAATGACCATGCCCGATTTTACAACGCTACCCTTGAAACCTTAATCTGATGTGGGAGTTACCGTGGTTTTACTAACTCTGAAATTATTTATTTATCTGAGTTTCTACATTTCTTCTTAACGACAAAAAATGCAGAACCCCCTTTCGCAGAGAAACCGCAAATAAAAATAATAAAATTAAAGAAATAAAACATTGATATATAATTCATGCTTGATCAGACATAGGTCACTTGAACTTACGCTTACAGTCCCTTTAATAGTGTACAAAATGACCATTAATCATCTGTACTTTCTGGAAAAAGGATTAAAATTTCCTTTTAGAGATCTTCTAAATATCACTGTTAACAACAGAAGGAGGTTAAATTTATACAAAATTACTGCACTTTGTGACCTCATAGCTCCCCTATTTGGATTTTTTGAACAAGTATGAGAATCAAAGAAAATAGAATATACATTACAGTGGAATTTACTAGAAAAAAGTGTAAAACGGCCATTTTGTTGTACTGTTTCCATACTGCAGCTGTATACTTCAAATATTTGTGCTATATAACATTTTGGACCCTGGAACATCATTTTATTGAAAATCTAAAATTAATATTAAAACTACCCACCAAGAAAAAATACAAAGAACGGAGGAGAAAAGGTGCACCGTTAATCATGTCGCGGAGTTCGAAAACGGAACTCCGATTCTCAAAGAACGGAGGTTCGGCGGTATCCTATACTGATGCGATTGAGGTGCACCGAACGGTGCACCGAACGGAGTGATTTACGGAGCACCGTTTCTACTCCGCTATTAGAGCTCCGTTACTACTCCTCTCTTAGAGCTCCGTTACTACTCCGCTCTTGGAGCTCCGTTGCTCCTCCTCTTTTGGAGCTAGCACAGCTAGCACCTAATGGGGCCTAAGAACCTCCTGAGATCAAAAGANGAAACCCTGCTCGACCTGCCCCACAACCATGTCACGTGATTATCTCTCCCTGAAAAGGAATTCCGACGGAGCTCCTCTTTTGGAGAATTCACCACAAACGGAGGGAATGAGGAGGATTCTCCACAAGAGGAGGAAATGAGGAGGATTCTCCATTTTCGGAGGATAAAAGGAGTCCTCCTCTTGAGGAGGAGAAGAGGAGAGCGGAGTAGGTTTTCTTGCTGGGTAAACCAAATTATGAAATAGGCTGGTTTAATAATTGACCAATGATCATTTCACATAGACTCTATTCCTTTCACTTTACAAACGATGATTTTCCGTTATAACTATCAATCAAATGATGTTTTTTATTCACCTAATTCATTTTATGTTTATTTAACAGCTTTACAAATTCGAAATTTAAATGGATAGTCTAGAGAACATACTGTATAAATGTACTCTACTATATATAATTTGTGAACATTTACATGATTTGTACACTTTGAACTCCCTGAAAGCGACTGACAAAATTCATACCGAGGGATTGACTAAAATCCACTCTTATATATATTCTGTTCTTTTTGATGAGTATAGACAAATTTATTTGGTTACATATATCAATATCAAACCATGTTTGTTCTTCTCCATAACACCCCACCAAGAGGAGTTAAGATTGACAACATTTAGGATTAAAATATCACGTATATTTTAATTAAATTTGACGTAAAATATAATTTTAAAAATGTTCAGCGACTTTTATGTGCTTTTCATTTTGATCATATAAATGTTCATCCTAAAAAACCAATGGGAAGGAACTTTTAACCTTAATAATGATTTTCATTTTGAAGAGATAAAAATCAGAGCTGAAAACTTTAGAATGAGACATCCTTAATCCTGATCGCTTAATCTGAGTATCCAATGTACAAACTTTTTATTTTATTCTTAATTCTCTTTTTTGAATATTCCTACTGTATCAAATTACGTTTGATAACATTTACAGATACAATGCTATATCGATTGAAGTAATATTCTATTGAATTAAAGTCAGGTGTACAAAAGCCGGCTTTTAGGGCATTTGAGCAATTATAAATTTAATCAGGTTAATATAAACTTATTAAAAAATATATTTTATCACATTTTAGGACTATCAAAAATTTTAACGAGTCTTTTAACAAACATTAATCCAAAACTTACATTTTTTTAATCGATGTCTAGTTCAATTGATATGGCACAATTAACACCAGAAAAAAAAACCCGGTTTTTCAAAAGTTAAAGAGTACATCTTAACATGATACGCTGATTGGTTGAATTTTAAACTTCTTTCTTGGATATCGAATGCATATTAAACTAATCTCGGGTTTAGTAAAACCAGGAGTTTAAGCATTAATCTTGATATCCATCATTTTAAAGTTTTCAACTCAGATAAATATAATACAGATTGTTTTAACTGTTAGATATCAATGTTGACGGGCTGTCAATTATATCCTTAAATCAATGAACAGTCTCATTGTTTAGTTAATGGTCGGATAAATATCATTTACTCTAGAAGCCCCCAGGGACTCCAGACCTTTACCTCCGGAGACATGGAGATATTAGAGATACTAGAGTTCAGAGTTTAGGTATCCTTTTCCAACCTAGACATACTAGAGTTCAGAGTTTAGGTTTCCTTTTCCAACCTAGAGATACTAGAGTTCAGAGTTTAGGTTTCCTAGTCCAACCTAGAGATACTAGAGTTCAGAGTTTAGGTTTCCTATTCCAACCTAGAGATACTAGACATCAGAGCATATGTTTCCAATTCCAACCTATAGATACTAGAGTTCAGAGTTTAGGTTTCCTTTTCCAACCTAGAGATACTAGAGTTTAGAGTTTAGGTTTCCTATTCCAACCTAGAGATACTGGAGTTCATAGTTTAGGTTTCCTATTCCAACCTGGAGATACTAGAGTTCAGAATTTAGGTTTCCTTTTCCAACCTAGAGACACTAGAGTTCAGAGTTTAGACTTCCTATTCCAACCTAGAGATACCATAGTTCAGAGTTTAGGTTTCCTTTTCCAACCTAGAGACTCTAGAGTTCAGAATTTAGGTTTCCTATTCCAACCTAAAGATATTAGAGTTCAGAGTTTAGGTTTCCTTTTCCAACCTAGAGATACTAGAGTTCAGAGTTTAGGTTTCCTATTCCAACCTAGAGATACTAGAGTTCAGAGTTTAGGTTTCCTATTCCAACCTAGAGATACTAGAGTTCAGAGTTTAGGTTTCCTTTTCCAACCTAGAGATACTAGAGTTCAGAGTTTAGGTTTCCTATTCCAACCTAGAGATACTATAGTTTAGAGTTTAGGTTTTCTATCCAACCTAGAGATACTAGAGATCAGAGTATAGGTTTTCTATTCCAACCTAGAGATACTAGAGTTCAGAGTATGGGTTTCCTATTCCAACCTAGAGATACTAGAGAGCAGAGTATAGGTTTTCTATTCCAACCTAGAGATACTAGAGATCAGAGTATAGGTTTCCTATTCCAACCTGGAGATACTAGAGATCAGAGTATAGGTTTCCTATTTCAACCTAGATATACTAGACATCAGAGTTTATGTTTCCTTTTCCAACCTAGAGATACTAAAGTTCAGAGTATATGTTTCTTATTCCAAACTAGAGATACTAGAGTTCATAGTTTAGGTATCTGAGGTATCTGTTTTACAAGATACAGATATAGTGTGGTAAATACCTTACTCATAAAACTTAGTCCAGAACTGTATGAATCCAGGTACAACTTGTCAGCTATTAATGTCAAAACGGACATAAGCTCTTAGTCAATCAATGCCAAATTAATGGACACAATCTCAGCTCATATGTTTTTTAATGAGGGCCAAATTACTTCTATCACTTCAAAAAATAAAAAATTACAATATTACAAAAATCTTCTCTGATAATTAAAAAAAATAAACCGCGCGAAATTTAAAATTACACAATATCATAAAACATTCATAATTATTATATTATAAAGATTTATTCACACACAAATATATAAATACATATATAAATGGTGTAGTTAAAATTTGTTTAAATAAATTTTTTTTGAAAATACAGGTTTCCAAAAGAAAAGAGAAAAAATATGCAAAATTATGCACAAATAGACAACATTGATCATTACTCATTACATAACATATTTAGTATTTCAGCTATAACGTAATCATCGAATCCTGCAACATATAAATTATTCATTCTTGTATTTAAAAGTTCTTGTAAAACCGGAACTTTCCATGCATGTTCTTATGGGACATCAAAATATTTCAGTTGTTTCTTAACATTTTGCTAAGATCCGAAGGATTTACAGAACAATCATTTTCAATAGAAAATAAATGTCTGCCAAGAACTGTGTTAAGGTCATTTTTACGTAAATAAGAAAGAAATCTAATGCAAAGCTTAGAACTTGCTTCAATAAGATCCATAAAACTTTAAAGAACAAAAATATACTAGGGGGGGCGGGGGGGGGGGTGTTTCTTTGTCATTGTTCAGTCCAGTAGCTATAGGGGGAAGGGGGGGAAGGGGGCACCCAGCTCACCCCGGATTAACCAGAGTGAGAAGCATTCAGTTTCATTTATTTGAAATCAAACGTGTTTTGGTCTATAAATCAACAATCTTTAAACTTACAGATTTGTTATTTTATACTTTTTCATTAAAAATAATTATGACAACAAAAAAGTATTTAAGAAAAAATGCAAAAATTATTATGTGTAATTGGTCAAATTGTGATAAAAAATCACAGCTATCTGATATATTGACAGAACCTTTAAATCTACGTGGGGGGTATCAGCCCCTGTTGGGGGCTAAAACCCCACTGAAAATCAAAGCCTTCACTTTTCAAGGGGGTGAGGGCTGAGCCCAATAGCCTCCACCCCTGGACACGCCTCTGCCATGGTAGACGCGAGATTTTATTTTTGAATTAGGTTTGGGAAAAATATTTTCAAATTTATNCTACCAATCTAGAATTATAACAATGATCCCTACCAATCTAGAATTATAACAATGATCCCTACCAATCTAGAATTATAACAATGATCCCTACCAATCTAGAATTATAACAATGATCCCTACCAATCTAGAATTATAACAATGATCCCTACCAATCTAGAATTATAACAATGATCCCTACCAATCTAGAATTATAACAATGATCCCTACCAATCTAGAATTATAACAATGATCCCTACCAATCTAGAATTATAACAATGATCCCTACCAATCTAGAATTATAACAATGATCCCTACCAATCTAGAATTATAACAATGATCCCTACCAATCTAGAATTATAACAATGATCCCTACCAATCTAGAATTATAACAATGACCCCTATCAATCTAGAATTATAACAATGATCCCTACCAATCTAGAATTATAATAGTGATCCCTACCTATCTAGAATTATAACAATGATCCCTACCAATCTAGAATTATAACAATGATCCCTACCAATCTAGAATTATAACAATGATCCCTACCAATCTAGAATTATAACAATGATCCCTACCAATCTCGAATTATAACAATGATTCCTACTAAACTCTAATTATAACAATAATTCCTACTAAACTCTAATTATAACAATGATCCCTAGTGAACTAGAATACCGATCCCTACAAAACTGTGATTATAACTGTGAACCCTACTAGACTAGAATTGAAGCAAAAATTCCAACATTTCAGAAATATAACAGTAATGCCTACAAAACCAGAATTATAAGAGTCAGAACGGGCAACCCTCCAAACCTCTATAAAAAAGGAACTTCTTTTGCAGCCAAAACACTGTTAAAACTTTAATAGCTTTTAATTTTAATCTTCCGCTCAATAAACTTTATTTTAACGTGCATCATAGTTTTAGTAGAAGTAAATATTTCCATTTACTTTGGTTTGATTATGAGATAGATAGAAAGATAGATGTTACCGTATTACTATTTCTATTGGTTCAGAATAACAAACACATGACTGAATCCTGATTGGATCAGTCGCTAATGGATCCGGCATGCAGGAGTGCGTGACTGATTTCTACGCAATTGCCTGGATAGTCCAGACAATTTTATGCTTTTGTTTCTTATTCTCTAAAGAAAACAACTGTTTATACAAATAGAGAGAACATTGTTATGTTATGGGAACAAATCAATTTTGCTCTCGATCCTTTAAAGGGATCAATGTTTTTTTAGTTTATCAAGCTCTTTGTTAAAGGGGATGTTCACGTAATTTCAAGTGACCCTCAATACAAAGATGACAATACCCGATTCACAACGGCACCCTTGAAAACTTTGTCTGCTATGAATTAGATATACATGTTTTTTATTGTTTTTTTTCATTTGCGGTTTCTCTGTAAAAGTGACTTGCGCAATTCTTGTTTATAAAAAGCAGTGGAGAAACTCACAGAAAAAAGTAAAATTTTCGAGTCAGCAATAGGACGGTATCTTTCATCATTTTTAATCAGATGAAGGTTTTAAGGATACTGTTGCAATTTGGGCATTGTCATTTTTGCATGGAGGGTCGAAATTACGCTTACAGCTTCTCTAAAGTAATCGTGTAATTAGCTCTTCGTTAAAAGGTAAACCTTGGTTGAATAGCGTGGATAGAGCTGTGCTTGTTTATGTTTATGGTTTAAACAGGATTCTCGTATCTAGGATACATCTAGGATACACCTTCCATCCTTCTCTCTCGTATACTCTTCCGTTCAGCGCTAATACTCCGCCACTCTCTTCGCACAACAAATAATTTCATGCTTCCAGATTGAGCATTACAATGAGAACCCTACAGCTATATTAACTAGGCTTTCAGGGGGCTTCGTGCAAATATTTATTTCAACTTTTAATTGTTGTACTATCTGTGTTCTCTTCGAACACTATAAAACAACTTGCTGAAGGGTCTGGCGTTGCCCGTAAAAAAACATTTTGGGAGACAAATTTGAAAATCTATTTTTGAAGTCTTTGTTTCCTCAAATAATTTCAGCCAATTTGGTCCAGCCGTTTGACCAGCTATAGCTAAAATAAGTACATGTCCAAAGAGCTTTATTATATAGATAACAAAAAAATCCCCAGATAAATATATAAATGCTTTGGAGGAGATTTTTTTTAAATCTTGACCATCCATGCACCTTTAATGAGGTCATGTGAGGTCCCACTTAAAATTTGGGCCAAATTGGTTTAGTCGTTTCGGCATTTATTGGATACAAACAAACAGACAACAAACAAGCAAAGTGTATACAAGTATATATACAGTATATAGTATATATATATATATATATCAATATAAATATTACTGAAAGAAATTTGATGCTTGAAAAACTATTTAAAGAGAAAGATAAGCACAATATGCGTAAATAAGATTTGAAATAATTTGTCTTTACCGGCTATCTGAGGTTTCAAAAATTCAGTTTTACCAACATCTGTAAAATTAAACAAAGGTAGCTTTGAAGTGACTGTTTCATATTTTCAAGTGATACTCCATCTAAAGATGTGTATGTCCGATTTAGCATGTTACCCTTTAAACCTTTAACCTTTGACCTTTGACCTTTTTTAAAATTGATAATTTCTAACTCTGAAGTAACTTGCGAATTCAATGCAGGTACTGAAACAATGTAAACATTGTAATTTACAGAATTCGACGCAAGATAGAAAAATTATAATATCACAGACTAGATATACACAGACTGCTCATTAGATAGAAACATGATATTATCACAGACTAGATATACACAGACTGCTCATAAGTTCTCACTGGATAGGCTAAGCAGGCCTACAGTTGTCCAAGAAGGACATGTTAAATGTCCATGAAAGGTTTTTTTACTGCCATCTAAAGGCCACTTGTTGCATATAATACCCATTCAGGGGCAGTACAATTTT